ACAAATAATCTATTAATTAAGTTTACCACAACCTTTCCCCATATTTAATTTGATCGTGTCTTTCAACGGGATAATTAAGGAGATGGAAAGAAAGCATAGAAAAAAAGAAATAGAGGATACCTTTTTTGTGAACAACTGTTGTATTGTGGGGTTAATGCCACCTTCCTGCCAAATTCCTTCATCTGTTGAATTTTCTGTCAATTTCACTTTCTGCAATTTTGGGGTACTTACTTCTCCCTCAGAGAAAGTCAGCATATTTGGACACTCCATCACGGTTACATCTGCCAAAGATGGAAATTCAAAGTTGCAATTTCCTGAGCAGAAGCTTTCTAGTTTTGGAAGAACTTTAAGTTGCAAAGACTCAAGTTTGGTGAAAACAATGCCATCCTTCACATCATCACCATGCCATATCTCCTTCATGCTCTCATTCCTCTCCACTATTAGTTCTTCTAGACTGGGGAAGGTAGCCTGGAAATTACCATATGATTTGAAAAATTACAAACCAAGGAGTATGAAAAGGGTAGATGATCTAAATCCTTGGCCCTTTTTTTTACAACCAAATAAAAAAAATATTATTAAGAGCACAAGAGGTACTCTAACCTAATATTCCACAAACAACTCCCACAAACACACAAAATAACATTTGAAAGACTTAAAGATAAAGATATTAAATATAATTAATTGATGAATTTTAAGACCAAACTATTATCTGTACAGTAGAAAATAAGTATAGGCAAGAAAGAGCTTACATGAAAGCTGCAATGCATTAGCACATGCACATTTTTTTTTGTCCATTATTTAGAGCTCATACCTTACTGACCAAGAATAGAGGGCATTGATTATGGTTTTCAAGTTGGTTCTCTCTACATGTTCTCTGATAACTCAGAAGTTCTGAAGCAAGTATCTGCACTTGATTACATCCAAATATCACCAATTCTTTCAATGATGACCATACTGTAAAATAAATTCCAGGGCAGATACTCTTGAGACTGGGCAGCCCCTTAAGCAGCAAGTGTGTTACTTTTGGAAACACAAAATTAGGGGTTGCTCCGAACGAATTTGATTGACCAATTTTCAAAGCTTGTGTTTCACTAGCATTCAACCCTGGAGGCTCAAATATTGTTTCTAGTGAAACACAATTTTCTATCTTCAGTTTGTCTAGGTTTTGAAGTCTTCCAAGCATAATAATTGAAAAAATATTTGACAGTTTTTCACAGGATTCCACCAAAAGCTGATCTAGCTTGTGGAAGCTCTCTGCATTAAGTTGGTTGTCCCATATCAAGTTCAAGCTCTCCATATCTTTGAGTACAAGGTGCTTCAATCTGGGGAATCCCACCTAAAAATGAAATATAATATGAAATTAGAAGGAAATATTTTAAGACATGAAAAATGAAAAGTAAAGGGAAAAAGTGCAAAAAATTTACCTTCACATCAAACAGCGATAATGTAGAAGCACCTTCTACTATTTTACTTTCTGTCATGTGACTCATTTCCCCAACATTAGAATTGGAGATGAACGTCTCCAACAGAGGGCACTTGATTATATGAAGGAATGTCAGGAAGCCGAACTCAAAGTAATTTCCAGAGCAGAACCTTGTGAGTTTGGGAAGGCCTTCAAGAGTCAAGGTTTCAAGCTTAGCTAGCAACAAACTTTCTTCCTTTGTTAATCCTTCATTTACTATTACCTCTTTCATCATTACACAATCACGAATCTCAAGCGATTTTAGTTGCACAAGACTTTTAATCATTGAGGATGTAAACAGATATTTCAAATTACCACACTCCTTCAGAATCAGATGTTCTACACTATGAACAACTAAAGACATTGTTAAAAGTTGTTCTTGGAATATTTGTCGCATGTTCATCGAGGAAAGCGTCAATTCCAGAAAGCTGGAAAACTCAACCTGAAAAGTGTAGTTCTAGCTTCATGAACAAATTTGTATTCTTTAACGGAAAGTAACTAAACAATGAATCACAATGATTCCAAAGCAATGGCATGAAATTAACTTTAAATAACTAATGTGCAAACATCTCAAATATCCCATGATCATCTTACACACAACTCTTATTTACATCACTTAAACAAAATCTTGATCATTTATCTCTTTATTATGAATGATTAAGGTTTATCATGACTTTCTAAATAAAAAAAGACAATTTTCTTTAAAAATAAGATAAAAAGTTAAGTGATATATGTATGAGTTGTATGTAAATGAATTTAACTATATATATTGTGAATAATACATATTAAACCTAACTTCAAAAAAAAAAAAAAGGGAGTCTCAACTTTAAATGACTCATTTCAGTTAATTAAAATTTAATTCAAAATTCAAAAATTCACCATATTAAATGTTAAACCGATATGCACTATTTAATAAGATAGATTTTTTACTTTTTTATATTTAGAATTTAATCAATTTCCAATTGAATTTTGAATGGCGTTTTAATTAAATGAAATGACTCTATTTAAATTCGGACTCTATGTACTATTTTTTTTTTCAATCTTGGATTGTATAATGAAGACAACTTTTTTCCATCCCTTAACCCCATGCCATACAACTCGATTTCAGAATTTTTTACCTCTATGTGAAACAAATTACTACTAAATTAGTTAGGTCGTTGGCTATTCTATGTACCATTCTAATATGTTTATATATGTACGTGGAGACACATGATTGTAACATAACTAGGTCTCAAGTTGCATTTCGCATCATTCATATGTACGACCCTTTCTCTTAATTATTAAATATAAAAGTAGTAATACAAAATTATAATTTTAAATTAATCTTTTATACCGTATGTAATCTATTGGGTAAAGATAGTACAACCTACAAGAAATAATTTATGTAAGTTAGAAAAATTATATTTCCAAATGAATTTGTTATAATGATTATCCATCTCAACTATGCCAAGATCACTAAGGTGTCATTTTTGCTTGGGTTACAGCGTTCTATATTTTATGCCAAAGAAGAACTATCCTAGAATAGGACTTGCCTTTGGTCAATGCACCAATAGTCTAAGGGTTAGAATCGGTCGGATAATTTAGGCTTTATGTAGTATGGTCATGATATTTAGTTTTTAATTTTAGTTTTCATAAACTTTATAACTACTAAAAACTAATAATTTGTCATGCCATAAATGGAATATTAGCATTCACTTATTAGTTTTAGTCATGACATAAATGAATACTGAATAGATGTGTTTAGTTAACCATACGAATACTTATGTAGATAATAGAAGTAGAATAATATAATCTAGGCCGCACAAGTGGATCAAAAGTCGAGAAAATGTGAAACCAACAATTCTAGGTGAAGAAACAGACCTCGTCACTGAAAAAGGGTGCAGTAGGGATATCAATGACTTCCTTTCCAATCCTTTCTGCAGCTCCTCCTTCTGCTGCCTCTTTCACTTGCACCGTTGAAAATGTTGAGGCAAATGTAACCATCTTTGGACAGTCAAGTAATTTCATCCATGTCAATGATGGACACTCAAGTTTATAATTTCCCACACAGAAACTTGTCAAGTTGGGACAAGATTCTAAATTAATGGTTTTTATCAGTGGGAATATCATCTCTTTTTCATCTTCCCCCGTAGCTTCCTCTTCTGTGACGATTTGCTCCATCATTTCACAGTTTTTCACTTTCATCCCTATGAGGGAAACGAGACTCAAGGTCATGGAAGGTGTTAAGAGATATTTCAAGTCACTACAATTACAAATTTCAAGGACACAAAGCTGTTTGAAATCCAAGATCTCTTGAGGATCCTTGTTCCATATTTCCACCAACTGAGGAAAGTCTGAGAGCTTCAAATATTGTAACCCAGAGAAACCAACCTGCCAAGTACATACTTTAGTTATTTACATAAGAATATATCCAAATATATCAATAGAGAAAAATGAAAAAAAGAAAAGAAAAGAAGCAATAGCTTCCTCCTTGCATTTGATGAAAGGAATAACTGCAAAAATTGCAATAACAAATAGGGGAAATTTATGGCTCAATTCATACCTTTTCTTTGTACAATTGATTTATGGTGTCATTCAGCTCAACCACTGGACGCCCTGCATTATCTTCTTGTGTTAATTGTATTCTCTGCAGCCTTGGAGTCCTCACGACTCCGTGACAGAAGGTCACAAAGTTGACACATTGAGCCACCATTACTTTTTCCAACAATGGGAACTTGAATGTGAAATTTGCAGAACAGAAGCTTGCAAGTCTTGTTAAGCACTCAAGTTTCAAAACTTTTAATTTGCTGAAAACAATCACTTCTTCTAAATCTAATCCATCTCCTTCGCCTCCAACTATTTCTGTCAGAAAGTGGCAATTTTGTACGGTGATACTTTGGAGTTGCACCAGGCTTTGGGCAGTTGCAAATGAAAATAAGTTTCTTAACCCTTGACATCTTTCTACGAACAAAGTGGTGAGATTTCGGAAAGATGGTGTAGATTCTGATAAGCTAATCAAGTTAGCACATCCCCGCACTTTAAGAGATTCAACACTTTGAACAAGTAGGTCTGATGCTGAGCCTTGACTCCATATATACTTCAGATTAAAAAGTGCATCCAGCTTCAACTTTCTAATACGTAAATGCCATTTTGCATCTTCCTCCTGACAATCAATGGATGCTACAGAAGGGAACAACTCCTTGAAACCAGAGCAACCTATAAAAAGCTCTTCTAAATTGAAGAATCTTTCAATGAAGAACAATGGAAAAACCGTCAATTCACTGTGGTAGCAGAGAACACGAAGAACTTTAACATTGGAGAAGAGGTCTTCTGGAAATTGGCGAGTACATATCATTGCAATGTCATCACTTGTTAATGATAGCTTCTCCAATCTAGGAATATCCTGAAAGCCAATGTAAGAAAACATAATATTATACCATTTGTTAAGGACATTGAAAAAGATATAAGGAGATATGCATTAGTAAAAGTTAACACTAAAAATTAGATAAAGCCAAGTACTTTGTTAATGATAAATGAAAGAGAGCTACAATGGTTGAAAGAGAAGATCTGAGACCCCCTACTTTAGTTCTATACTCGAGTATTTACAGAATTATAGTGAATTACAATAGAGTTCATATATATAGAATAATGTCTTCTAATTCAACTGAATTAGTTTTCCATCCTTTATAAGATTCTACCATTTTGTAGTTGCCTCGGTGGAGGTTTTTGTTGGAAATGGTGCCTTAAATTGCTCAAAGCAAATATGGAAAGTTCTAATTGAGTCTTGCATTTAAAGTCAGTGAGATTTTGTCTTCTAATTTGATTCCAACTTGATTAGGAACCTTAACCTTAAGACCTGTATGACAATATATGATAATTACTATTGGTACTTGAATTTGTACTCTAGGAGAAATCTAAGAACCTTATTTTGATATAAATTTATGATATAAGCAAACTTATTTATGTGTGGTTATAACCCACCCCTATTAGGGTGGATTAAGGTTTTGGTTGACCAGGTTTCGCATAAACTTTTTTCCACACATTTGATTTAAAAATGTAAATTTATTATTTTTTTAATTTTAATTAACTTTTTATATTTTTTAGTTAATTTTAATTAATATTTTTTTATATTTTTAGAATAGTAAAAGGAAAAAAAAAAAACTATAATACTTACGTAACACAAGAGCATTAACAAACAAGATCTAAAGAGTTTTTGAGTTAGGTGATGAGTGAAAAGATAGAAAGATGATAGTGCGATTGGCTCACAAAAAATATTTTTCAAAAAATGTTTTTTTCTATTTTTTTTTTTTGTAGGATAATGTTTGAGAGGCAACTTTTTTTTTACTTAACTTTTCTTTTCATTTTATGCATTCAGTTATTTATAGTTCATTTAGTATACTGGTTTAAGGTAACAGTTAGCAGTTTTATCTAAACTGTTGTAAAATAAGAGTTTGGTAAATTTGTTTATTAGGAAACTACTACAAACTAAATATTTGGTAATAAATTGTATTTAACATTTTGGGATTAACAAATAGCAATTTGAGTCTAAACTGCTAATAAATTCAATTAGAATTTTTTAAATTTTATTGACAAATTTATTTATTTTAATTTTAAAAAAATTTTGCCATAGTTTTTAATTAATACTTATCTAATTAATTTCAATTTTTCTTCTTTTTAATAACATTAAATAAATATTATATATTTTTTTACATTAACTTATCATAAAAAAAATTATATTAGCTTAATAAAAAAATTTACTACTTAGACAAAAT